TATCCAGAATGTATTCCTCATATGCTAGGCCTCTCAAAGCTATTTTAAATCTGTCTTAGTCCATTTTGTATTGCTATAACAGAATACCATAGCTAGGAGATTTACAAAGAGAATGAACTTCTTTCTTAAATTCTGGAGGCTGGGAAGTCCAAGGTCAAGGGGCCTATACCCAGTGAAAGCTGTCTTGCTGCATCATCCTATGGTGGAATGTAGAAGGGAAAGAGAGCTCAAGAGAGAAAAAGAGCAAGAGGCGGCCACTCACTTTTATAGCATGCCCACTCTCATAATAACTAACCCACTCCCAAGAGAATGACATTACTCCATTCATGATGGCAGAGCTGTCATGACATAATCACCTCTTACTAGACTCCATGTCCCAACAGTTGCATTGGGGATTCAGTTTTTAACATATGAACTTTAGGGGACACGGTTAAATCATAGCAAAAGCTCTCAGCAAGGAAGAGATATGACAAAAATGAAAACAAATTGAGGGATATTATTCAGAATGATTCCAAATAAAGCTAGAGTAAACCAGAGAGAGTAAGTGGCTAGAGCATTCATTCCCCCAAACATAATTAACTTTTATAGCCCTTTAGAATTTGCAAAGTACTTTGTATACATGTACTTTCATTTTATCCTCCCAACAAGTTCTAGAATCAGGTTTATTACTTCTATCACCATTTTATAGCTGAGGAACATGATTATATCACACAGGGTTCCAACAGAGAACAGAGGGCACACTTAAGTTAGAGTAATTTAAAGAGGGTTTATTTAAAAGAGATGAGAAGTATAGGGAGTCAGGATCCTACAAATAGTAATTGTGGGAAATCTGTAACCACATCTAGGCCAGGCAGGGTGAGGGTAGCCTGCATTTGCTGGAACCTAGAAGGGAAGTGTTGTGTAGTGATTGCTATGAGATCAGCAGTGACCTTTGGTTGTGAAACATCAACAGCCCAAGGCAACCTCCTCCCAGGGAAGGACCAGGGGTATACACGTCCTGATTTTGTTTTCTTCCCTCCTAACTCCTGCTGGAAGCAACGGGAAGCCAATGGCCCAGAAGTACATTGGTACAGGCCACACCTTTTCCCCTTCAACATCCTCTATAGCTTTTCATCCACATGAAAAGTGTGCACCTCCAACACAAGGGACACATGAAGTCCCTTTAGAATGTGTATCATCATAGAGTGATCTTGATTCAATCATATTCCCTCATGAGAACTAAAAAGTTAGCCACTTCTAGTACTCTTTATATATGATATATATAGAAGGAAAAGTTGGGGGAGTGGAAAAAGTGACAAAAAACATAACTTCTACAGGCCATACTTCTTTCTGGTCATGAGGGCTAATTTAGCAATCATAGCACTAGCACCAGCTCCATGGATGTACAACCTGGGCAGTCACACAGGGCTCAATACTTAGAAGTGCTCTGTACTTGGTTGCTGCTCCACTGTGCCTAGTAAATAGACTGAAATTAACAAGGAGCCCTACATTTTTATTTTGCATTAGGTTCTTCAATTATGTAGCTAACATTGCATAACTCTGTTCTCCCAGCACCTATTCAAGTTACCCTTAACCTTTGTCAGGACCTCGCCAGACTGGGTTCTTTACCTAGAAGGATAGCCCAAACCTTCCTTCCTTCCTTCCTTGTCTTTGTTGGGTTCCCAGAGTTTCCAACAGCAGAACATTAGACAAGGAAGTACTAAAAAATGTCTCAGTGAATCTCAATCATGGCAGAGTTATTGACAACCACTTTCCTAAAAAGTATGTACAAGGCTAGTGTGGTGGTTTACACCTGCAATCCCAGCACGAGAGGCCAAGGTGACAGGATCATTTGAGGCCAGGAGTTTGAGACCAGCTGGGCAACAAAGCAAGACCTTGTCTCTACAAAAAAATCTCCTTCTTGACAAAATTGTCCTTTAGGTAGAAGAAACCCATTTGTCCCCTTGTAATGAGGATCAATCACTCTGGCCAGAAAAACAGCCCCCAATTCTGCCTGTGAGTGCAGCAGTACGTGAAGCCCCACATAGGGTGTACTCTTAGGCCAACTGATCAGAACCATGACTGTGCTCCCTGATAGAAGCATTCTTCCCTCAGGGACTAGTTTCTTCAAAATCATCCAGCCCAAGGTTGTAGGAACCAGAAGCAAAAATTATTCAAATGAGTAATTAAGGATTGATAATGAAGAAGACTGTTTTGCCCCTGAACCGATAGAGAGATGGTTATGTACAAACTTCTACTATTTGTAACACTATTTGTAGCATATCACATAATTTTGATTCACCTCTCACGGCAGAGCTATTGACAACCACTTTCCTAAAAAGTACGTAGGAGGCCAGTGTGGTGGTTCGCACTTGTAATCCCAGCACGAGAGGCCAAGGTGAGAGGATCATTTGAGGCCAGGAGTTTGAGACCAGCTAGGCAACAAAGCAAGACCCCATCTCTACAAATAAAAATAAAAATAATAAATTAATGTAAAAAAATTTTAAAGTATGTAGGGTAGTGGGTGATACAGTTTGGCTGTGTCCCCACCAAAAATCTCTTCTTGAATTGTAATCACCATAATCCCCATGTGTCAAGGGTGGGACTAGGTGGAGGTAATTGGATCATGGGGCAGTTTCCCCATGTTGTTCTCGTGATAATGAGTGAGTCTCATGAGATCTAATGGTTTTATAACTGTCTGGCATTTTCCCTGCTGGTACTCATTCTCTCTCCTGCTGCTCTGTGAAGAGGTACCTTCTGCCATGATTGTAAATTTCCTGATGCTTCCCCAGCCATGCAGAACTGTGAGTCAATTCAAATCCTTCCTTTATAAATTACCCAGTCTCAGGTATTTCTTCATAGCAGAGAATAGGCTAATACAGTGGGCATAAATTATAACACTGAGAATAAAACAGAAGTTTCTTTTTTGTTGGCAAATACACAAAAGTTGCATAACCGTGTTTCGTGCTTTAGGTCTGAGATGTGCTGGAGGCTCCCGCGATCTTTGCTTAGCTCTAAATACACACATAGTAAAAAAAATATTCCTAACACCAGAGGGCACTGTGCTACAGGGATACCTCTGCAAGGTTCCCACACTAGCAACTCCGTTACAGCTTCCCCTATGTTCCTGCACCACAGTCAACCTGTTAGAAATGCCTTCTGCTTTTTCTTTTTGCCATCCTTAAATGAGGACTGTTTCTCCCTTGTAATCCCCTCAACAGAATTCCTCTTCTCCCTACCATAACCTGTGTCTCTGGGATTGTATACACAAGTTTCTGAAGCCCTCTGAGGGGTGGGTAATCATGCTGTGATTCTTCCTGTGTATACATGTTAAGTAAATTTGTATGTTTTTTCTATTAATTTACCTGATGTCAGTGATTTTCAGCCAAACTTCAGAGGGCCAAGGGGACCTCTCCTTTTGGCATTTACAATAGTATGTGCTGGTAGTTTCATGTAGTTCTTGGTAGAACTTACTGGTTCAACTTGTTCTTTCACTATGTGTGTATTTAGAGCTAAGCAAGTTTACTATATCTATCTATCTATCTATCTATCTATCTATCTATCTATCTATATTTTTTTACTGCTCTGTAGCTGACACCTTGATTTCAGTAACAAGTCGTTTTCTTTTCTTTTTTCTTTGAGATGAGGTCTTACTCCATCACCCAGGCTGGAGTGCAGTGGCAAAATCATAGCTCACTACAGACTCAAACTCCTGGACTCAAGCAGTCCTTCTGCCTCAGCCTCCCAAGTAAGTAGGACTGCAGGCGCACACCACCAAACCCAGTTAATTTTTAAATTTTTTATTTTATCTATTTATTTGAGACAGTCTTGCTGTGTTGCCCAGGCTGGAGTACAGTGATGTGATCATAGCTCACTGCAGCCTTGATCTCCCAGGTTCAAGTGATCCCCTCGCCTCAGCCTCCTGAATAGCTGGGACTACAGGTGCACATCACCATGCTTGGCTAATATATATATATTTTTAATTTTTAGTAGACACGAGGTCTCACTATGTTACCCAGACTCGTCTTGAACTCCTGAGCTTAAGCTCTCCTCCTACCTTGCAAGTTTACAGTTTTTAAAAAATGTATTTTATCTCCTTGATTGAAAACTTCACGAAAGCACACTTTGTGTATTTTTGCCAGCACCTGGAAGATGTAAACCTATCACACAGCAGATGTTCAATAAATGTCGAGTGTTGAGACAAAACTTGCTTAATTTTTCAATCAAGGTTTGGAAAATTACCTCTTAATTTGTATTATAAAAGAAGTCAAAACCCATTTACTAACTAGACCTAGAAGAAAGTTTATGATGAGACTAGATTATTAGTAGTGCTTGATGTTCCAGGAGTTATATTCAATTTTAATAGGCTTAGATAGACCAAACTAACTCCCCACATTTAAATTAGAATGAGAATCAACGGGATCTACTCTTACCTTCTAATGTAAAACAATTATGCTCATTAGACAGGTTTGCCTGAATTGTATCTTAATTTTAACTAAGTATAATGAAAACCAGAGAGCTCAAGATTACTGAGTTTGCTAGATGCAGAAAATTATAGGTTAACAGTTATATTTAACTGCTATGTAACATTGTTTCTAGCAGCTTCTCTTAACCCCTTGTTCCCTGAAGGCAGAGAGTTGTAGAGAACAGAACTGATGTTTAAAAAGAAAAATCCACAAAACGTGGTGATGGAGTACGTACGTGAAGTTGTGCCCATTGCGCTTCTGATTTCAAATAAGTAATTGTTTTAAATTGCCTACTAACATAAATTTTAAAAGCCCAGTCGATTCCAAACACTGACACCTAGGAGTGAAAATCCATGGTTATTTCCTTGGGTGAGCTTTATTGTATTTTTGCGGGCGCTATAGAAATGCTCCCCCAGGCAGTACAGATCAGCAGCGGCTAGCAGTGAAGAATGTTCAAGGAAGGGTTTGTCCCTGATCACTAGGACTCGGGGCTTGGGGAGCCTGGACTGCCATGAGGAAGGCTCGATTCACCACTACAGACAGGGAGCCAGAGACCTGAGTAGTGCCGAGAAGTCGGCAGTCGCGCCAGGTCAGGAAGCGCCGAACCTGCAGGAAATCCTGGACTCCATCCCTGCATTTGTTCCAGTGTCGAAGATGGTATCCAGGTCGCCGAAAACTTCCCGGAAGTTTATGCCAAGACCGACTTATTATCTACGGTGTCCGGGAAGGTCCATGATTGTCCGACATAAAGGCAGCAGGGAGGAAGGCGCAAGCGCATTGGTGACTTGACTCTGAAAAGCGTCCAGACCAAGGTCTGCGGAGAGTAGGCCTGTAGCTCCTGCAGTTGCTCCTCCTCACCCGCCACAACCTGATTTCCTAGAAGGGCTCTGTCATGCAAAAAGATTTTCCATTGGCTTAGAGGAGGGAGGGCCCGTCTTCCCTCGTTATCCATTGGCTGCCCCTTCCGCCGCAAGTTGGGGGCGGGGTTAGGGCGCCTTTCGATTGCATCAGCTGGTCCAGTGGAGACCAAGTGGCGCAAGCGCAGTGTTCCCGGGCGCTAGCCCACCTGCGACCCGCCTCTTTGCTCTTCTCCTCTAGGCCGTCGCTTTCGGGTTCTCTGATCGCTTCATCGTTCGCCAATGTTTGAGGAGAAAGCCAGCAGTCCTTCAGGGAAGATGGGAGGCGAGGAGAAGCCGGTGAGCAGACCTGGTGGGACCCAGAGACCAGCCTGGGACTCTCGTGGGTGCAGACGCTACCCTCGCGGCGGGGGCAGGGGTCAGGAAGCAGGAAGCGGCCGGTACCGCGTGGGTCGGAGGAGTGGGGGACGGTGGGACTCATGGAAAGTCGGAACCCCTTTGGGAACCGTCCATTCGTAAATTAGGGTGGGGCCTTGCAGTTCATCTCTGGGTCCATTCTCTTTACAGATGAGGAAACAGACCTTGATTGAGCGACTTGTTCAGAGCCTCACATCTACAGTAGTTAGACGCGGAGACAGAATCAGAATCTTAGGCTTGGGGCTTCCAAACTCGGGTTTGTGGCTTACTGTAAGCGGGAAACATATTGCAGAGCCTTATTTAATCGATCTCCTAAGATCCTGCGGGGGTAAAGAGCTCCATTTTGAGGAAAGGAAAACCGAGTCCCTGAGATCTGACCCAACTTGTCCAAGTTTGGGTGGTTAAGTATACATTTTGCCTGGCACTGAGCTGGGCGGTGCAGGTGGGAAGATGATTAGGGCCCAGTTCCCCGACTTTGAGGGCCTCACAGGCTGATGTGTAAGAGACAGTAAAACAGCCCTAGTACTTTGTGATCAGCTGTGTGGTATTACAGAAGAGGAAGCTTAGGAGGGCTCTTTCGAATTGAGTTTGGAAGAATGATTTCACCAGGAAAACAGGCAGGACGGGGCTTCCCACATAAAGGTAGGGAAGGCAGTGAAAAGGGGCACGCAGGTGAATTGTCTTTCGGGTTGTTTGCAAGAGATATGCCAGAAGGGTTAAAGGAACAGCAGTCAGAAAGATCTTAGGCAACAAGGATGTTTGATACTTGTATTCTATACATGAAGGATCTTAAGCAGGAAGATTGAATTTGTAAAAGTCACGCTGGCATTGGGGTAGAAGGTGAAGCCACATGCAGAAAACTGTTGTAATAGTCCAAGTGAGAAGTGGTGACATCTTGAGCTAAGGGAGCCTCTATCCCAAGTCTGTGACAGGACAAGTCACTTAAAAGCCAAAACTTTTTCTTGGTTGTCTACTCGGAATTGAATGGAGAAACTGCATATGGGCACATTCTAAACCAAGTAAATTTAATTCTAGATGATAAACGGTGACAATACATAGATTTTTTTTTTCACATAAAATGGTATTTTTACTGTTTTGTAACTTTTTTTTTTTTTTTTTGCTTAATAGGATGTGGTCAACAACTTTCCATGTCCATAAATATTCTCCTGTACTATTCTTAATTGGACGTAATATGTATGGTTAACAAATATGTAGTTTTTCCTTCCTGTAGTAGTTATACAACAGTTAATATTTATTTTGAGTACTAAGTACGGGTTTGGCACTGTATTAATGTATTCCATGAATTAACTCACTCAGTCTTTTGTTTTTGTTTTGTTTTGTTTTGTTTTTTCCCTGTCGCCCAGGCTGGAGTGCAGTCGTGCGATCTCGGCTCACTGCAAGCTCCGCCTCCCGGGTTCGCGCGATTCTACTGCCTCAGCCTCCCGAGTGGCTGGCACTACAGAAGCCCGCCACCACGCCCTGCTAATTTTTTTTTTTTTTTTACGCCCGCTAATTTTTTTTTTTTTTTGTATTTTTAGTAGAGACGGTTTCACCGTGTTAGCCAGGATAGTCTCGATCTCCCTGACCTCGTGATCCGCCCGCCCTTCGACTTCCCAAAGTGCTGGGATTACAGGCCTAAGCCACCGCTCCCGGCCTCATTCAGTCTTCTTAATAACGCTATGAACTGGGTTCTGTTATTATCTCCATTATACAGATGAGAAAGCAGGCATAGGAACAGTAACTTGCTCAAACCAAGTATCCCTTTTTTTCCCCTTTCTCAAACCCAGTACCCTATAGCAAATACTAATAACCCCTGTGCTGTTCTGAGTGAGTCAGGGACAGATCATTCCTGAGAAAGGTAATTCTGTAGCTTCTGTTAACAATCCAGTTCTGCTTCCCAATTTTTGGGTTGAAATTTTAGATTACTTGTATGTAGATGTACATAACATATGTACTCAGAGAAATAGAGAACAGTTGCCCACTCTCTTCCCAGTGTTGTAGAAAAGAGGTAATAGGCCTCAGGGTTCCAGAGAGACCTGTCGTAATGTCCCACCTCTACTACTTAATGATACAAGTGGGCAAGTTGCTTCTTTGAGCCAATGTTCTTGTTTATAAAACGGAGCCGTATTTAGAACCAGAAAAACTTTGTGGTGATTGTCTCTCTCTCTCTCTCTGTCACTACCCCGTTCGTTTGGCAAATGATCAAAACCCAAATAATCTTATCAGAAATATAAAACTTATTTTATTATCTTTCAACTTTAAACCTGCACACACCTGCAGTTTTCTTTTTACCCAGTATACTTGATTAGTTACCTCACTTCTACCGTATGACAAAGGATCTGTTGAATCTAAATGAACCTTTAAAGTTTATTAAATCCAGACTCGTGGACTAGGGGGGAATTTTAGCTCAGCATGAAATTAGGAGTCATATTTTAAAACTAGTTTTTTTTTTAAAATTATACAAGTAACACGTTTTATAGGATTTAAAAGACAATGACCAAAATGTTCATCAACTGATAAATGGATAAGTAAGCAATGGAATATTATTTGATAATAAAAAGGTACAATGACAAGTATTGATACATGTTACAACCTGATGATCTTGAAATTATTATGCTAACTAAAAGAAGCCTGTCACAAAAGACTACGTAATGTGTGATTCTATTTATATGAAATTCCTAGAATAGGCAAATCATAGAAACAGAAACTAGATTAATGGTTGCCAGGGTCTGGAGTTGAAGGCAACAGGGAGTGAACTGCTAATGGGTACAAGGTTTCTTTTTGAGGGTGATGAAAATACTCTAAAATTGATGGTAGCTGATAGTTGCACAACAGTGAATACCTAAAAACCATTGAATTGTATACTTTACATGGGTAACTTGTATGATATATGGATTGTATCTTAAAACTTCAAAAAACTAAAGGTCACAAACATGCAAACTAAATAAAATCCCCCCCTTTACATTCCTGGCACAGGATTTATTACTTTAAAACTTTGTATGACTTCACTTACTTCTAATTGAAGCCGTATTCCTTACGGTAACTTTTAGTTCTTCTGTGAGCATTAGTCTGTCTTACCTTGTATGACTTTCTAAAACACTCCTTCATTAATTAGCCTGGTTTAGTCATTTTTTTCTCTCTTTAAATTTTAATGTTTCTGACAACAAGTTTATGTGTACACGTAGGACACATTGCCTCTATTCTCAAAATCCACCTGTTGAAATGCATTCCATCCTTTAAAGTTCTTACACTAGTCCTAGCTTGTTTGACGTCTAATCATAGTGCTACTACTGTGTTCTTTTCTTCTCCGGGAGTTTCTCATACACATGTATGCCTTACGTTCCCTGGAGAGACTAGGTTTACACATGGTAGGGATTGGGCCTTATATTTGCTTCTTCCATGGCTTTTGGTAGCACTGGTGGAATTCATGGACACACTTTGTATTCAGTTTGTTTGTTTGTTTGTTTTTCCTGGAAATATGCTTACTGAGTCAACTACATGCTTCCCTGTGGCCATATGTTTGGTATGTGGTCCAAGTAAACCTGAAGCGAGAGTCACGGGAATAGTTAAAATAAAATAAATGAAATTTGAGGAGTTAAACATCGTTAGTAACTCCTTCTTACTTTTTGAAGACTCGTCTTTATGTGTAGTTGTTAACCTGTCTTTGCCAGTGATGAAATTGTTCAGTCTTTCAATATCAGATTTCCATTTTTTAAAAATTCAATAACAAATACTAAAATAACATTCTCAACACTTTTGCTGGGGCATCGCAGGGTAGAGGTGTCACATTAGATTAAAATATAAAACGTATTTTGCTTATTTAGATTGATGCTGGTGAAGAGAAGCGAAAGGAAGGAGGCAAAAAGAAGAACAAAGAAGGATCTGGAGATGGAGGTCGAGCTGAGGTAAAAGTTCTCATCGCAGAGGGCTCTGTTATCAAAGGTTGGCAAATCACAGGGAACTTTCTGAGACTTTCTGAATGTGTAAGGATTCTAGTGGTTTACATGGTGTTGTAAGACGGTACTGGTTGGAAAAATCAGGAAGAAGAATTAGGAAAGGATAATCTGAGAGGGGAAAAAAGACTTTCAGTCTTTTGTTACCGTAAAAGGAAGCAACTGGCGTATGATTGTATAAGGTGATCTGATTGTGGGGTTGAATATAAAAATCAGAGAACAAAAGTTGAAGAGGAGACTGGTAATTATTCAGTTGCCAGACGTGATGCTAGCTCTCTGATTATTTCATTAAATGAGATGTTAAGGAATAGAGGCTTGGTGTTTGCGCTTACACTGAATACAACAAAAACCAAAGAGAGCCAGTTTTGTGACCGCCTCCTTGTTCTTTGTATCTGGACCTGCCCTAGGGTTGGCTTCTAAGCCAGGACAGATTCCCCTTAAGGCCTCTCAAGTCTGGAGAAAATGCTTTCCCTTTCCCAGGCTCACACTGAAAGGAACTGGCATATCAAAAGCCAACCCTAAATCAACCTGGTTCCTGAGTATTTTGCTTTTAGAGGCAGTTAAGCT